TTCCAAGCAGCAGCTGGTGGGTTTGAACTATAGACCTTATGGTTGACAGCCAGTGTTGGTCCTACAGCGCCACACCAGGAATCCATATTCTCTCTTGAGGACAAATTATTGGGAGCTTTCTCACAAAAGAAAACAAAGGAAAGGAAAGAAGAAGGGGGTGGGGTGGTGGTGGTGGAGAAAGGAGAGAGAAAAAAAAGATTTGGAGAGGAAAGAAGGGGGGACAAAGATTTGGAAATGAATAGTGGTAAAGAAGGGAAGTGTAGGTGTGTAGGTGTGGCTGGGTTGTACATATAAAAATGGTTTAAATGGCAAAAATAAATAATAATTGAAATCCAAATGGATCAGAGGAAGCAGGAAAGTTTGGGATGTAAGAGAAGAAATTTTTCTTGGCAAAGCCAGTGGTGGTTTTAAAAGCAGACAGAAGTGGTTTTACTGAGAGGAGATGACATTTTAGCATTAGGCCCCCTCATCTGTAGAGGTCCCTTTCAGGACCCTTCAAGGGATCCAAGCAGTGTCCAAGTGGTGGTATGTTTCTGTAATTGTTACCCAGAGCAAGGTACAACTGAGTTCATCTTTTATATATGAGCCCCTCAAATAGGTTTCAAGCCCCACAAAACCTGGGTTTGCCCTGTCTGGGAAGTAGGAAGAGGTTGGCAGCAGCAGGAAATCTGAGCGTTACTGAGAACATTATGAGAGCAGTGGGAAATGGTAATTTGGGGGTGCCAGTCAGAATTCTGAGTAGCTCCTGTTCTTTTTTAAAACACCATTGCCTAAGTTCACAGTTCTCATATCACGACTTTCCTTTCTGCTTTTATATCTTCTCCACAAATGAAGTCACAGGAGACATTCAGCTGTTACAAACGTCATGTCAAGCTTTGAAGTGCTTTTTAATAGCAGAAATATTTGGCTCACGTGTGGGCTTTGTAGCTATGGTAAATACCTCTCAGTTATCTGTCGTTGCTGTTATTCTACACCTCCAATTTGGAGGAGAAACTCTGCATATGCATTGAGGCACTAAAAAAGAATACTGAACTCTATCTTAGTTCTTTTGTGAACAGTTTCCTTTTATTTCTAATTTTATTGCTAATGCTTTCATCCCATTGTACTGGTTATGGGTGGGAAAGCAGTGGCTAGAAGGGGAATGAGGATTATAGGCAGTCCCCAGGCCAAGATTGAGATCTATTCTTAAGTGTGTCTTTACGATGAATTAGTAGGTCAGTTGGAAGGTGTACATGGTTCTTACTTAGACTTACTTTAGGTCAGGGGTGGAGAACCTTTTTTTATTTATTTTTTCTGCCAAAACTTATAACATCATTCACAGGTCATACAAAACTATCAATGTAAAAATTTGCCAGCTTATATTTGGTCAAACATTTAATTAACTCATCCCTAATGTGATGGAAAGGAGCTCTGGTAGCGTAGTGGTTACAAGTCGGGCTGCCAACCTCAAGGTCGGCAGTTCAAAACTACCAGCGGTTCTGTGGGAGAAAGATGAGGCGTTCTGCTCCCGTAAAGATTTACAGCCTCGGAAACCCTGTGCAGGGTCACTATGAGTCGGAACCGACTCCATTGTACTTAACAATGTGATGGAGTCTGGATGTGGCGCTGTGGTTTATACGTCAGATGGCAAAATCGTTTGCACTGCAAGATCGGTGGTTCAAGCTCACCAGCTGCTCCTTTGAAACCCTATACAGGGTTGCTATGGATCGGAATTGGCACAATGGCCACTTAACAATGTGATGGCTGGAGTCCTGGCGTGGCGCTGTGGGTTAATGTGCCAGACAGCAAAGCCGTTTGAACTGTAAGGTTGGTGCTTCAAGCTTACCAGCTGCACCTCAGAAACCCTATACAGGGTCACTATGGGTCGGAACTGACTCGATGGCACATAACAACAACAATGTGATGATTGGAACTACGGTTGCCTTGACAGGGCCTGAACAAAAGATTTCTGGATGTTCCCCACCCCTGCTTTATTTAGTACAAGAAAGGAGCCCTGGTAATGCTGTGGGATAAGCACTGGGCTGCTAACCGAAAAGTCAACGGTTCAAACTTTCCAGCCACTCTATGGGGAAACGATGAGGCTGTCTGTTTCTGTAAAGATTTATAACCTTGGAAGCACTAAGGAGCAGTTTTACTATGCTCTAGAGGGGTCACTATGAATTGGGGTATGGTTTGGTTTGAGGTTTGAGTGCAAGAAAAGACTCAAAGCCTTTTCCATCATGTTCAAGCTGAATGTGCAGCAAATGAAGGTGATTGTAATGAATTTTGTTGCAAGTAGGGATTTGTTCTGTAGTTTCAAAGTGGGTGCAAGTAGGAGTTGTTCAAGTTGTCTGACCATGTTCATAACTTGGGGACGTGCTGCATTACATCATCAGTGTCAGTTTCCCTTTCAGTTTCTTAAATGTTAATGTAAAAGGCATTTAAAGGGCTGACTGATCCACCTGTGTTCTGGGCAAGTGTTTTCGTAGACTTTGGACAAAAAGTTTGCAGTGGCTTAAAGAGAAGAAACTGACCACAATGAACTTGAGAAAGCAATGGAAAACCCCCTTAACTTGGCGATTCCTGTATGACATACATACGGTATGTCCAGGTACATCTCAGAACAATGCATTTACACACCACATTTTTGAGAACAGAAAAATAGAAAATTGTACTGGTTATGGGTGGGAAAGCATCTATTAAGAATTTGGGATATGCCCTGTGTTGAACAAGGATGTTTTGCTTCCTTATGTAACTTAATTATTTTATGCACAGATGCTAGAAAATACTATTACACTCCATAAGTTAACACTTGACACTTTTATTTCTCAAAATGTAACATTTTAGATGTCTAGATATGTTTATTAATTAGTGATTATTAACACCCAGTAAACAACATTATGCCTTGTAAAAACACAATCTCTCTTCACAGCGTGAGGCTGAAATCTATTATTCCCTGATTCCATATGCTGAAATACACTCAAATGGTCACAAATGACCTTAAGCATTAAATAAATGTAAATGAGGACAACCTAGAAAATGTGCTTTTGATTGATAACTAAAAGACCAGGTTGAAAATCATGTCCAAAAAGGAAGTCCTCTCCTGAAGGGTCTGGTAATGCATCGTGGAGTAAGGGCTGTCTACAGAATGAAGAGCACACTGTTGAGGGCAGACACTGCTCTTTCTCCAGACCTGCAGGAGGCAGGCTGGGAAGCAAGACTGGCTTGTTCATTTATGTGAGAAACAGAGCATACCGCCCCCCGGGGTCATCGGCCTCTTCTGAACATTTCTAATGTAGGATTTTAAAAGACATACAGGCAGTCCCTAGTTAATGTCTGACTTATGGACAACTCATGTTTGCCCTTTAATGTTAGATAAATTTGCCCTCACCTTGAAACAACTGAACCGATCCCTACTTACAACCACTTCGTCATCACAACCACCTTTATTTGCTCTCTCATGTGCAGCTTTTTAAATCATGGAAAATGCTTTGAGTCTTTTCTTGCATGAAGACCAACCCCACTGCTGTCCACATCATTCTGACTCATAGCGACCCCTCACCTGCAGAGTAGAACTGCTCCGTAGGGTTTCCAAGGCTGTAAATGTTTGTGGAAGCAGTACGCCTCATCTTTCTCCTGTGGAGCGCTGGAGGGTTTGAACCACTGACCTTTCAGTTAGAAGCAAGGTTAAATAAGCACTGTATGCACCTATTCCAACTTACCTATAAATTCAATGAAAAGACCCACTGAGGAATGGCTCTCATTTGTGAGCCAGGGACTGATTGTCTGTGTATGGACACTTCATTGTATTTGCTAATACAAGAGAGAGAAAACGTCATTGCTATTCTAGAGCCTCATCCCTGTGTGTCAATAACATACTTAATAGAATACTCATTCTTAAGCATGATAGCTGTTCATTCACCTCTCCCCCACACCCAAACTCCACAGTTGAGGTAAAGGGAATGTCCTGAAAACAAGGAAAGCTTAAAACATCAAAGGATGGCAGATTAACAGTGACAAGTACACTAAAAATAGAATTGTTTCTTCTAACAATGCCGGTGTTTACACACATAAAAGAAAAAAATACACAAGTACAGATAATATATGTGAAAACTATTCATTCCTCTATGTCCATATCAACAGAGCAAAACTAAAATGTAGCATCACAGAAAACACCATTGTTTCAACTGAAGGTAAAAAGAATTTCTTCTAGATTGAATAAGAATGAACAAAGTCTACAAGGGAAAGCATAGCCAGACTATTGTTAAATCATGGAAAGAGCAGGGTTTCTTCATCTCTGCACTACTGACCTGTTGGGCCAGGTAATTTTTTGTTGTGGGAGGTCTCTCTGTGCACTGTAGGATGTTTAGAGCAGCATCCCTGGTCCCTACCCACTAGATGCCAGTAGGACCATCACCCTCCCACACTTGTTAAAACCAATGTCTCCAAACAAGATGTTGCCAAAAGTTCCCCTGGTTGAGAACCACCGAAGTAGAGTCATTCCCAAGCTCCAAGGCTGTGCTTCTTCCAACCTCATGCTGTACAATTGCAGTCCCTAAATCATCCCCAATTCAGTATTTATTGTATCTATTTTCAGGTGCCCATTTATTAATTGAGGACAATGAGAGCACCTGCCACAAACAGGTCTCATGAACATTTGTTGTTGTTGTTGTTGCTAGGTTTTCAGTGACTAAATATTCGGAAGTAGTTCGTCACTCCTTCTTCCTAGTCTGTCTTTATCTGGAAGCTCATCTGAAATCTGTCCACCATGGGTGACCCTGCTGGTATTTAAAATACCGGTGACCTAGCTTGTAGAATCACAGCAACTCTCAAGCCACTACAGTATGGCAAACTGACAGACGAGTGATGGATCCTGAGCATTAAGTGAGATAAACTTATAAAGCACTTACCTGGCACATAGGAAATGTTCAATAAAAGGTAGTTATTATTATTTTAAACAACATAAGACCAAGAAAAACAGTTTAAATTGGATTGTGTTTTAATACAGAAAGGTATCTTACCAGCTTGATATTTTCCGAGTCTTAAATACACCAGCCTTCTGATTCCTTGTGATGATGTCTCTTACATCTTTGGGACATAGTTAAGAAAGCTTCTGCAGTGATTATTAGCTGCCTCCACAAACAATAGGACCTATAAACAGTAATTTTCTTACACTGGATTAGCACAGTGCATAGGGAAAAGATACATGGTTTGAGATAGGAGGGGAAGCATGTAACCCTAGGTTTATCACCAAATGCTACTACCACAGGCAAGCAATTTTTGTTCCTTGGACACAGTTCTGTTACCTAAGAAATGCACATTCAGGTGGTATTATAGCAAGGTCAGAGTTATGGGGGCTGGCTGTGGGGAAATGACTGTTCCATGGGTATTATGGGTACTGTCCCCCCAAACCAGACCGAACCCATTGTCACTGAGTCTATCCTTTATGATTGGGTAGAAATGCTCCTTTAGGGTTTCTGAGGCTGTAAATCTTTATGGGAGGGGTTGGTTGGTTGTTAAGTTCCGTGGAGTCAGTTCTGACTCATAGCCACCCTGAGTAGGGTTTCCGAGGCTGTGAATCTTCACGGGAGCAGAAAGCCTCATCTTTCTCCCGCGGAACAGCTGGTAGTTTCGAACTGCTGACCTTGTGGTTTGCAGCCCGATTTGTAACCACTACGCTACCAGAGCTTCTTTATGGGAGTAGACAGCCTTATCGTTTTCTCTCTTGGAGCGGCTGGTAGGTTTGAACCACCAACATTGTGGTTAGCAGCCAAACACTTAAACAAGCTATGCTACCAGGGCCCCCTCAAAAACAGCTAGAAAGCCAAAGGCGAGCCTCTTTCAGTCAGTGGTGTCTTTGGTCAGTGACAGTCTTTTGAGCTATGCCAAATAAAAGTATTTCCAGTCCTGGTGTGGCACTGTAGAATAAGCACTCAACTTCAAGGTCAGGCTGATCCACAAGGTCGGCAGTTCAAACCCACCAGCCGCTCCTCAGAAACCCTATACAGGGTCGCTATGAGCTAGGACTGACTCAACAGCACTTAAGAGAAACAACAAATGATATTAGGGTAGGTAAGGCTGAACATCAGGGAGAGGCATGGGAAGAAGTTCAAAAGAGACAGATGGAGAAAAGTTTGGAGAATCCTTGAGAGAAAATGAATTACTGAAGAAAGTCAATCCAATGCAAATCCCCTTGAAAAACTGCCCATACAGACGTACGCTTTGGCTTTTGCCATCTGCAGGAATGTGAGGTCTTAAACCAGAGAGCCATATTTACTGAGGAGCTGATCTTTATAAGGTCCCATGAGAGAAATCATGTCAGCTTTCAACACCAGGAAAAGCTGGACTTCAGATCAACTGTTTTTACTTCAACTTCTGAACATTGTAAATTGTAATACTCTTCCTTTTCCTCTCTTTACTCTGGCCCCTGTGTAACTCACAGACAAACGTAGACTCCCTCTAACACCTACAATGGCATGTACTCATATTTTCTGTATGAGCTTCTATTCCTGGTTACATATTATCTTGACGTTTTCATTTTCTTGCCCTCCTTTTGGTATATTCTATGTATCACTGTAAGAAGCCTCAAAATCCCTCTTTTGGAATAAGGTAGGTTTAAATAAACAAGAAGTGAAATAACTCCAGTGAAGGCTGCAAGCTGAACTAAATTGGGCCCATGGGGCAGAAACTAAGCAGACAAGCCATGCTCCCCCTATTGCTCAGAACAGCAGATTTCCTGAAAGCTCAAAGCAAGCACTGGCCAAAATCTCCCTGCAAGAACAGAGCCACAGGACTTTTTAACCCAAATCTCTGCTTGAACCACCAGGCACACCCATTTTTCCACTGAGTGAATAAGCAGGTACTGTGATAGCTTTCTTTCCCCAGGAGTGGGTAGGAAAAATCAATTAGGTCTCCTAATGAAGGGCTTTGTTGAGGTTTACAAAAGTGCTATAATGTAGACTTTTTTTTTTTTTTTCCTGGGTGAACTTTCCTGTATGCAAATTAAATACTGTTAAATTACATTCATTACAAAAATAAAAGAGACTAATTTGCCTACTTGTTTTGATTAACGAAAATGACACAATCGGCCTACACTTCTGTCTATTTCAGGAAGAAAGTATTTCAGGAAAGTCTTCTAAATGAAATGTCTTGCAGAAAAGGACAGCTGACATCTTTATTCTGAGGAGACATAATTAATAGAGAGTCAACTGACAACTGTTTCTGATTAAGCTCCCCCACACTCTGGCCACACCCTGATCTGCGTTTCCATGGTAGCCAGCCACACGCCACAATGTGTGCGGTACACCTGTAGCGTCGTATGAGTACATGACTAATCTATCAAGCAAAACATATTATTTTGTTAGTGGAGGTAATACTTTTTATAAAATAGTCACAGGGAAGTTAAATTATATAACTCAGGAGATCTATTAATAATTTTTAGTAAACATCTTAACACTATATACTTTTATACAGTTTATGAACCTGTGACTCCAGGTGGTCAGGCTGAAGCAAGTATATGCATTTATGTTCTAGAGGTAATTTTTTTTTAATGAAAAAAATCACAGCAGTATTTAGCTGTTTTATTTTTAGAGCTAGGTAAGAAATATGGTTTTGTGGTTTAGGAGGTGTTTTGTTTTGTTTTGTTTTGTTTTAAATATTAGAACAAGTGCATAGAGAAAACATAGCAAGTATATCCACCCTTGACTTGAGGTCAGACTTTGAGGTGGTTCTTCTGGATGGCACTGTGTCCAATAATAGATTTTGTCATTCTTCTGTGTCATCCTCAGGGTAAGAAAAGAAATTCAATCAACTTGAGTCAGTGTGTCCAGGATGATATTCAACACGATGAACCAAATTGTGTTCTCTGAACTGCACCCAGTTTCTGGAGACCATCAGTGGAAGGTGCTGGATGCAAAGGCAGCTTTAATGTGATTTCTGATTAAATGCTTGGAGAGCAATTACCTCCAATCTCCTTGTCTGGGCAACTGGATTTTGAGAGCTACAGGGTACACTAGGGGGCTTCAGGAAGTTTGTGAAAAAATGGAATTAAAAGATAATGGTATTTTCCATGAACTTTTTGAAGCCCCCTTGTATGCTTGTGGCAAAAAGAAAACCAGATTATCTTCCTAAATTTTCTTCTCAGATAGAGCACAGTTTCAGAGTGGGGCTCCATGTTAATTTTGTTTCAGTTGATTTTATACACACACACACACACACACATATATATATATATTATTGGAGAGATATTGTAGTTGTAGGCATTAAATTGAAACTGTAGTAATAGTCATTTAAAATATTAATTCTATTAGATAACTTAATTTTGTGTTTATAAGCAGTGTTTAAAATATTAGCCTCCCTCTGCAATTGTTGTTGTTGTTAAGTGCTGTTAAGTTGGTTCCAACTCATAGCAAACTTGTATAGGGTTTCCAAGGAGCAGCTGGTGAGCTTGTACTGCCGACCTTGTGGTTCAAAGTGACTTTGTCAGTCCAGCGCATTAAGCCACAGTGTCACACCAGGACTCTCTCTGCAATAGTGGTTGCTATATATGTTTTGAGAGCGGGCACTGTTCTTTAAACAAAAAATTCTTTTACAAATGATAACATACTTTTCTTGTTTTATGTTACCTCTATTTGTATCATAATATCAAGAGTGAGGATATGAAACTATGAGATCATAAAGTCAATCCCTGAGTGTTTTGGAAAAGTTTGATTAGGCAATATTTGCTAATTTCAGTGAACAGAATTTTTTTAAATGTGCTTATTGGTCAAATAAGATGAGAGGATGATACAGCATAACTGTGAACTCAGTTAACATTGACTATTCCATTGATGACAAGAAGCCTTTCCATTCAGAGGCTGCTGAGGAAATACAAAATGATACTAACCAAATCATTCTAGCTTTTGGTGAAATAGAATGATTAAGTGAGGCGAAAACAAAAACAAAAACATAAGCACTGAAGTCAGATGCACCTGGCTTCTAGTCTGGGTTCTTCTAGTAACTGTGTGACTGACCTTGAGCCAACTAACCTCTTTGAGTTCTATCTCTAAAATAGGAATAATAACACATTTTGGAGGACTGCTGGAAGGCTTAATATAATGGATCTGACACACAGTATATTCCTTGTTGTTGTGTGTGGAACCGTTGATTTGATTAATAGCTAAGCCATGAGACAGAGTAGAACTACCTAAAGGTTTCCTAGGCTGTCATCTTAATGGGAGCAGATAGCCAATACCTTTCTCCTGAGGTACCGCTGGGGGTTTCAAACTGCAGATTTTTCAGTTCTCCTACTTCCTGTCAATTTATTATCTTTTAAAACAGTCTATGACAAGGCTTTGGTGGGATGGAGAGATTTGGCAGTTCAGCTTTGGTTTATTTCCTTCTGCTCAGAACTGTGTGAACATTTATACTGTAGAACGTAAATATCTGGAAGGAATTAGAGGACTCAATTTCCCGATGTCTTTGAACACGTCAGTGTGCTCTAGCAAAGGCAAAACCTGTGTTTTCAATGATTCCTGTTACAAATTCAGAGATATGTTTTAGACAAAACACTTGGTTCCCGGATAACAAAATCACTCTTGGAGATACAAAGATTTTTTTAAAGGCCTACTTAGAACTTTACATCCAAAGTGATAGTTTTTTTTTTTAATTACTACTGTTATTAATGTTTCTCATCATTTGAAAATATATATCTTGGGAAGAGACAGTGAGTTATTCAATTCTAATTAACAGTGACATTTGTTCCAATAACGAATAACATCTTCTGGGGCGTCTGATTGTCTTGTAACTAAATAATCAGCAAACAAGAAGTTCTCATTTAGCCTCCTCTATTTCTTACGAGTTGGGCTGCTAACAACAAAGTTAGCAGTTTGAATCCACCAGCTGCTCCTTGGGAAAAGATGAGACTTTCTGCTCTCATAAAGATGTAATGATGTACAGCCTCAGAAACCCTATAAAAAGTCGCTATGAATCAGAACCAACTCAACACATAACCACCACCACCACCACCATTCCTTACTCGAAGGAGTCCTGGTGACGCTGTACAACAAGTTGTTATTGTTGTTAAGTGCCGTTGAGGCAGTTCCGACTCATAGCAACCCTGTTCAGGGTTTCTGAGGAGTGACTGGTGAGCCTGAACCGCTGACTTTGCGGTTCAAACCAACTTTTCATTCCAGCGCATTAACCCACAGCACTGCACCAGGATTCACTACCATCAAGTCTATTCGGTCTCATAGTGACTATGTGTAGGGTTTTCAGATGTGTAAATCTCTACCACAGCAGAAAACCTCAACGTTCTTCTGAGGAACAGCTGGTGCGGTGATGAGCAGTCCAGTTTGGTTTGGGTTATCATTCCTTACTCAAAGAGCTCAGGTAGCACAGTGGCTAAGCACTCAACTGCTAACCGAAAGGCTGGCAATTTGAACCCACCAGTCTCACCAAGGGAGAAAGATGTGGCAGCTGCTTCCATAAAGATACTAACCTTGGAAATCCTATGGGGTAGATGTACTCTGTCATATGGGGTTGCTATGCTTTGGAATTGACCGGATGACAGGGGGTTTGACTTTTCTATTCCTTATTGGCTTCGGGAGCAACATCAAAATGACATTTTCACAACTGCCTTATCAGATGCCAACCAATTCCCTCTCTGGAATGTTTGCTCCATGAGGATAGCGAATACGCCTCTCTTGTCCATTGATGTGTAGGTAGCATCTGAAATTGGAATGAATCAACTTTAATAGATACTTGTTGAGCTCCTACCCATGTAAGGCACATGTATGGTTCATCTAATAGATAGAGTCCTGGTGTGGCATCATGGGTTAATGCGCCAGACTGCAAAGCTGTTTGAACTGCAAGGTCAGTGGCTCAAGCTCACCAGTGGCTCCTCAGAAACCCTACACAGGGTCGCTATGGGTCGGAACCAACTCAACAGCACTTAACATCAACAATAGACAGAAGTACAGCTATCACCACTGTTGGAGCAGAGTGGTGGTCTAGGATTCTTAAATTCTGAACCCTCTTCGTGAAGCTTAATCCATTCATAATTCAAGCTGGGAATTCTGCTAAATAAAATTCTGTGAGTATCTCCTCTAAAAACACAGGAGATTTACTGATTTGGGGAGAATCCTGAGCTCCAGATCATGATTGAGACCGATCTTACTGTGTGGATAAGATGCTTGGGTCAGTAAGATGCTTGGATCAATGGGCCACCAAGATTGATATGCTTTGCAGATAACACACCTGGTGTTTGTTTACTAAGCATGGGTCAAGACAGGGTGCTTGCATTGAGTAAATGAGTGATTGTAATCACAAAGGCCCATTAACCTTAAGGTGTTGTACTTTCATTCAGTATGATTTGGTAAAGGATTAGTATCAGTAATAACTCAGTACAGGAATTCCCTACCTTATTTGTACTTTATTGTCATCACCAGCTACAGACCTTTTTTGAGTGATAATTATCTGTGGGAGAAAGATGAGGCTTTCTGCTCCCATAAAGATTTACAGCCTCGGAAACCCTGAACAGGGTTCGCTATGAGTCGGAATCGATTCCATGGCACATAACAATAACAACAACAACAATTATCTGTGGATACTTGGAAATTTCTTTTTCTAAAGGATAGTACCGAAGAGAAGGGAACAGGTTTCATATTATTTTAGGGTAAATTTGAGAACGGAATGAAATTCTCATTTCCAAATTTACCCTTTGTTCTCTGAGTACAGACAAAATGGTGCCTTTGGTGAGAAGTAGCTGCCAGATTGGGAGTGAGGGGTGGGGTGGGGGCTGGGCTCTAAGATGCTTCCGGTGTAGACCAGCAATACAGTTTAAAGACTAAGAAGAATCTTTAAGGAAAACTACCTAAAAGTGTGAGAAAGTATTTAGGTCTTACAACATTCATTTATACCTCAAGTCTTCATCTCTTTTCAGACATCCCTGTTTAATAAATCTCAGATCAACATCTAGCTTTTCAGGATCAAGGTAGGGGGTTCTGAAAGACATAGCCAATCCATCTGAAGCCTTTCCAGAGAGATAATACAGAACCTCACAGCTGGTTGGTATGTTCCTATGATATAAAGATTCTGAATTTAGCCACTCATTGCATCATACATTAAAAAATATAATAATAATAAGAGAAGATAAAAGGAAAATATCAGAAAATGCCTTTTAAAAAAAAAGGTGTAAAAAATCAGAATCTTATCAGCTTAAGAGGCTAGGAAAGAAGACTGGGTTGGAGTCATTAAATTCAGATGCTAAGAACAACAAAAATAAATTTTTAAATGACAAGAGTAATATACAGGCCAATACTCAGATGTGATGTACGACTGCCAGGTCGATTTTCAATTACATTTCACTGATGTATTCATTTGTTTCTTAATGTGCTCATCTTGCCCATTAAGAATAATTAGCAGCTTTGCTTAGAGATTTTCTGGTTTCTGGCAATGTTTCTCCCTTTTTTGTTGTTGACATCCACTTCTACTTTTTAGAAAGTAATTTTTGGATAATATCCTACAACTGCTATATAATTTACGCTTCCTATAATTTAAAGGAAAGATGTAAACAGTAATTTTTAAATGAGTTTGTTTCTATCTATATGCATCAACAATATGCGAATCAGTGAATTAGTTATTCTTACAGAAAGTAGGCATACAAATAGAAAAAAATGTTCCATTCATATTAATCTTACTCAGTAAAACATTATGACGAATGCCAATTCTAAGTTCTGTTAGCAAGTTAAGAATAACAGTATTAAACATAGGGAAAACACATTCCCAATTTTTAAGGCTTTATGCATGCTTTTTACTCTTAATTTTTAAAAAATTTAGATCTGGTTACAACAGAAGAAAAGGCACACAAACATAGAACAACTGCAGGATAAAAACTGAACTTCATCAGGAAAGTCCTAAAAAATGAAATTAAACATACTACCAGGTTTGGTCTGCATCCTGAAAGGACCTACTTTATCTACATTGTAAAGTTCTTCCCCTCCTGCCCTTTGGCACCCCGCTATATTAAACCCATTGTAAAACCCAGCACAATAAAGCACTCTCAGGGCTGAGCGTCTGAGGACCAAATGTTAAAAATCCATTTTCTTGGGAGGGGGCTGTACCAATCATTTCTTTGAAAGGCCGGCAGAATGAATACAGAATCTGAGATTTCCTCTGATTTCAAGAGCTGGCACAGCATCTTTGCTGTTTAAAGCAAAGGTGCGTTAATTAATGACATTAGCATTTCTTCCCTTCTTTGGAAGCTCTGTAGTTTAGCTCAATAATCATTTTTGTACAATGTAATTTACATACTAACTACAGATGCCTTCTGTAGTTTGATAAAAGTTCTAATTGGTTTCTGCTGCTATTAAATAAGACACCTACTGACCTGAGACAAACCTCAAGCTATTGGGTCCAATCTGAAAGTTCTGGTGGCTAAAATGACCTTCTCTTATTCAAGACCCTGCCTTTTTTCTTGTCCCAAACCTTCATTTAAGCTGTGCAGGAATACCTGAGTTCTCTTGTTCTCTGTTTTTCCTCTGACATGTGGAGGAGGAGCAGAGTGAAATGATACAGTGCAGGAATAACTCTGAACAAAGCACACTGAATGAAACAACATCAGCTCATCTTCAGGAATATTTTGAAAAACTTGCGACAGTCTCAAGATCATGACTAAAATCCTGCATTTTAAAAAAGGAAGCACCTTTTGTGATCTCTTTCTCTTGTGTGAAAGGCCAAGCTTGTGATTGGCTGTTTTTTCTTCCTGAGTTTTTTTTTTCTTCAAGTCTGTCAGGCAATTAGCTGGGTGGGGCTCCGTGGCGCACACAAGTACGGCTGAACAATATTAGCTACTGTGCTTCTTGTACCTCCTTTCTCCTGTTTGAGCAGCCGAATGGAGCTGCTGCAAATTTTATTTTCAAGGGATTATATAGGAGAATGAGAGCAAAAAAGATTTTATATAAGATGCCACATAAATAAAAACTGTTTTAGCGTTTTAGGGCTAAAACTCAAATATGTTGACATTGGATCTCAAAATGGAATTCAAAGGCATGCCGAAAAACCCAAAATAAATATCTTCTACTTTTCCTCTCAATTTCTAACGGTTGTTAACTGTCCCTGAACAAATCAGCTAGATTGCTAAAGCAGCTATAAATTACGCTTGCGTTCTTAAAGTACAGTTCAATTTTCCAGAACTCTGTGTACATAATCTAATATAATGGGGATTGAACTAAAATCGCAAAGCAGAAAAAAATAGATAGATTTTATAATCCTAAATAAGAGGAAATTAAAAAAAAAAAAAAAAGGATAGCTACTTCCAGTGGGGAATGTAGGTAACTACTCAGCAATTGAAGTAGATACAATATTACATGGTAGATACACTATCACACGCACAAAAGATAATATGGAAAATGAAGCTGGAAGTTAATTTTGGCAAGCATTCTCCTATACAATAACTGTCAAACAATTTATTTTATACTCCCGAATTTCAATGGAAAGAAATGAAAAAGAATGCTTCTAAATTATTATGGAAATATTTTTTACGTCTTGCATGACCTGGAAAATGTAGGCCCCTTTAATGAGAATTGACTATAAAAATATTTGGAAAAACAAAACAAAAAGCACATAGACCTATGCAACCAACTCCATATATTTCTACTTCTCTTAATTACTTATGGTGGGGGAAAACTCTTTTTTAAAACCCCATGCTGTCTTTCTTTATTTCAATTGTTACTCAGCCAGGAAAAAGGAATGAGCACAACAAACCCGTTTTCTATCTGAATAAGGATACTTCTGATGGCCTTTTCATTCCCATCAGTTAACAGAACTTCTTTGACATCTGCAGAAATAGCAACCTGAAAAAAAAAAAAAAGGGGGAGCACAGCAAACAATGAGCAAATATGCTTGTCTGTGTGGAAGTGAAGACAGGAGTGACAAGCCTTCAGTATCATGCTTCCTCACCTATTTCTCTGTAACAATCTTCAATCTTTTTTCATTTTATGTCTGCATTATTTTAATCATTCAATCAAATCAGTCAATACTTTTATCATTCCATTTGCGGGAGCCTCTATCTTGCTATCATTCTGTTCGGTAATTGCATTGTGACAGCGGATGATGGTATTCTGAGAGGCTTTCATTTGTGGGCTTCTGTTTATCTAGTAGAGCCATCATACAAGGCTGTCACTCTGCCTTTCAGCTTGCTTCTGTCTGACTGCCTGATGCCCTTCATATAACTTTGCATTGCAGGCAGATGGCTTTGTGAGGGTAATTTTTTTGTGAGCTTTGACATGCTCGCACATTGGGCTGTAACCTCGACACATTGTATAAGAGCGACAGGTTTGTCAAATGCCAATCAGTGTAACAATATGCTTTTATTTGTAGAGACATAAAAACTTGTCTAATGCACTATGCTGCTACATAATATCTCCTGAATACATGACTCAGAACCCAGAGAATGGGGAACGACGTTCCTGAATGGCCAATCTAATTCAAAAGAATCTAATTACTGAGCGCTCTGGATCATGTTTGTTGGTGTAATAATGCAGGCAAAACATTAGCAGCTATATCATGGTGCTCCAACTGTGATTCGCCAGGCTATTCCTGTATCTTAGCAAATGGGACTATAATCTGAAGGAAGAAAAAAAATGCTTTTGCTATGGCAAAGAAAGACTGTGCGAGGCCTGGAATGTCACAACAAGCGATATTGACTACACTGAGGTAAAATGTTTCTGCTCATAGAGGCAACCATAAAATCAATATGATCCGAAAGTAAGTCAATCTAGAAGGTCTCTCAAGACCCGGCAGCTTGACCGCAGCTGATGCTGTTGACGGTTCTCTGACCCAGCAGTTGGAGGCCCTGGAACATTTTTCCTTTTGTTCCTCCCTCTGAATGGGATTGGAATTGAGAAAAGACCTACCATGAGCCCAGCCAAGCATGTCATGCCACCCCCTAGCTCACACACAGCAAGGTCTCTGAAAGAGAGAAAAGAAATGATAGAACCCATACAAATTAGATGAAAATGGTCAGAGAGATATATATGTTACAAGAACAAATTGCCATCTGCAGTAAGAACGGCGCTACCAGGAAGTTGTAGAGACAAGACCGGGCTACCTCATGTCGTTTTGCGTTTTAAAAATAATTATGAAATAGAAAAGTCACAAAGCAGGCAAATCAGTGGGGGTCTCCTCATTAGTGTTCACTGCAACATTACCACCGCTGAGCTGAAAAATCTGAGAAGGTTCCCTTTTTACCCCTTGTCAATGGCGCTGTCTTTTAGAACTAAACTAGCTAGAGTAGCGAAAGATAATTGTTAGGAAAGGATAACACTGTTAATCCACATTCATTCCTTCAAAAACAGTTAGACAAGTAAATGAAGAATATATATGAGTGTGTATGTAGACCTATATTATAGTTACTTACATACACACAGCACACACAAAAATACATGCAATCCTGATTTTTTTTTTTTTTTTAAATCTACAACAAACTTAAACATTTTGGAAAGCTGAACCGGCTCCATAAAGTACAATTAACAACAAAGAGCATTTAGCAATTAACACTTAAATAACAATTGACCCCCACCACAAGGCAGTGAATAAACAATGCAGGTGCTTAATATGGTTAAGCCAGCAAACCCAGTAATGACTAAATTAATGAGCGGACTCTGACTTCACCTCTCAAAGTAAAGCGGCCAGAGTTAAAGCTGACAGCCTGGTTGGCGCTCTGCACTTACCTTCCTCTTTGTGCCTAAACATCAGCCCTCAACGTGGGACATTCTTGCCCTGGCCCACGGCTCACTGACTGAAGCTCCAGTCAGGGTTAAGCACAGTAAGATGAGCAAATGCCAGGCCTCCAGGGCAGTTCTGCAGCCTAATTCAAAATTGCTCTGTTCTTATTTTATATGCTTACACTCTGATGATTTTTTCTTATTCCCAGTTTGGGAAGTTTATTCTCTGAGGAGGAAAAAAAAGCAGGGCTAAACAAGAAGATGGGGGGAGGGAGGAGAAGAAAAGAAGCCAAGCAAGGACATTTACATTTGGAAATACACTTAATGAATATTTAATTATTAAAAACAATTAAACACTGGTTGGTAAATATGGACCCAAGTTGTTGTTGCTAAGCGTCATTGAGTCGATTTCGACTCATAGTGACTCTATATAGTGTTTCTGAGGAGCGGCTGGTGGGTTTGAACTTCCGACCTTGCAGTTAGCAGTCCAGTGCTTATCCTACAGCGCCACACCAGGGACTCCAAATATGGACCCATATAACTTCAAAATAGATATATTATTGATAAATAGTAAATACGTATTATTAAAACACACACCATGATGCTGGATTGCTTGTCTGGAATCATAATGGTCTATTTAGAAAGTATGCTCTGGATGAGTTTAATAAAATGAGAATTATAATGAAAAACCTGTATTTTCTGGGCCTACCAAACAGCTTTACAATTTTCAAATAAAAGATTTTTTTTTTTTCCTTTTTCCTAAATCCCATCCAGACACTCCACTCCATCTATAACACACTAACATTTATTTCCATAGGTTGAATCTGTAATAGTAATTTATATTTTAGAAATACAAATTGTTAGGTACATAAATATACCTTTAAAGCCTTTAAATAATAACAGTGGGGTATTTATTTGTCAGATAGTCTATCGTGACTTTCCTCACAGAAGGTAAAAGAACATCTTTATTGTTTTTTTTTTTTTTTGACCTTCACAATCAGTAAGGATTGATTGGAGCTTCACTTTTGTTTCCCCAAAATCAAAGTGAAGTAAAATGCCTTGAGTGAAAATCAAAAGCATTTGACATATAGCAAAAAGCTTGCTGTGCAATATTAGTACCCAAAGGCAATTCAGATTTCTTTTTCAAAAGAAGCATGTTTTCACTGTGAACTTTTTTCCCCTTTCCTATCCTTACTTTCTTTCTTTTTTAAACAATTTGAAGAATGTAATCATGGGACTCTTTAATATGTAGAAATAATACTCTAAATGGGTTACAAAGTATTTTAAAATGCAGTTCTGTACCTGAATATATCCTTGTGCTTGACAGCATAGTAAGCTAAAACCTCTTCAGACGGCCAGATGCCTAGAAAACACAAAAGGATAGACTTGTTGATTATAAAAGTCCTCTTAAGAAATGATATAAGAACAACGTTCCTTCCAAGTTATTTCAACTTGAAACAAACGTAAGTTACTTATTATACTTCATACCACATCAGTCTCTCCTGTCACTGTTGTTTTATAATGGTAAGATTTATAACCCCTTTCTCTAGAAAAGTAGTTGCTGTTTTTAAGTGCCATCAAGTCAGTTTGGACACACAGTGACCCACATAGGGTCAAGGGTTGGTTTGAACTGCAGACCTTGTGGTTAGCAGTCCAGTGCTTATCCTATAGTGCCATACAAGGACTCCAGGAAAGTAGTTGTTGTTGTTAAGTGCCGTCGAGTCGGTTCCGACTCATAGTGACCCTGTACAGGGTTTCCAAGGCTGTAAATCTTTACAGGAGCAGAAAGCCTCATCTTTCTCCCGCGGACTGGCTGGTAGTTTTGAACTGCTGACCTTGTGGTTCACAGCCCGATTCATAACCACTACGCTACTAGAGCTCCTTCCAGGAAAGTAGTAAATGAACCTAAATAAATTTTACAAAATTTCAGTCACAACAAAAACAGCACAAACTGTAACAACCAAATTTACAAATACTAAAACTTATATTTAATTAACAGGTAGATCTTATATGAACCTTCATTCAACCAATTAATAAGTAACAGTTGAAGACTTAGTCTATTTATCCCATGTTAGCCAAAAACAAATGGAAAGAATAACTTGCAGGAGCAAATAAAACCATGAAAGTCATTTATACCTTTTTGTTTGAATACATACTAACATTTCTAACATAAACAATTATTTCTTTTCTTCAACTAAAAAAGTCAAACTGAAGTATAAAATTAAATTTTAATTTCATTAGGTTTGGCATATCAAAATTTCACACTAAACCTACACACTAAATTCCATAGATAGGCATTTTCTAAACTTGTCATCTGTAAATCATTTATTCAGAAGACTTACATGGTCTTTATAAATTGCCAAGGTAGAAGACAAACCTATTTGAAAACTATAGTTTCTAGTGGCTATCACTAGATATGAGTGCTTCAAATTTTTTCTTTATACACTTTTGTGTATAAAGTTTTACAATGATCATGAGTTACTCTTACAATTACTCAGAATGTTGTTGTTGTTAAGTGTCATTGAGTCGGTTCTGACTCATAGCAACCCTGTATAGGGTTTCCAAGGAGTAGCTGACGGGTTTGAACTAGTGACCTTGTGGTTCGCAGTCCAGTGCTGATCCTACAGTGCCACACTAGGAGTCCATAATCAGAGTAAACTACATCAAAACAACAAGCAAAAAGAAAAAACCAAATCCTTCCCCAAAACCAAACCTGTTGCTGTTGAGTTGACTTGGACTCATAGAGACTTTACAGGACGTAGGGTTTTCCAAGACTGTATAATCTTTATGAAAGCAGACGGCCATACCTTTCACCTGTGGAGCTGCTAATGGGTTCGAATTCCTAGCCTTGCAGATGGCAGCCCAACTCATAACCAGCTATGTCAACAGGACCCCTTAACTAAATTGTTGTTGCTGTTGTTAAGTTCTTCCCACCTTGCGGTGCAAACCGATCTTGCAGTCTATTGTTTATCTCAGTGCCACACCAGGACTCCTTGACTATGAATCTATAAAATGACATTTTCCCCAAGAGGTTACCCCCAAAGATCAGGCAGGACACGAGACAGTCTCCACTGCTTGAGGATGAGAATATGCTGTCTCTTCAGAAAGCACAACAAATGTACTCTGTCTTAGCATTATGCTGATGGGTTTTGATGTAAAGTTGAAAAGCCTGAAAGGTTTACTACCCCCTCCACCCAGATGCATTTTCAACTTCAACGAGTTGAAAATCTGAGCATGAACATTTCGGAGAACAGGATGTTAAATAAATGGATAAGTAAAGCCCTAAGAGATTCAATGAATAAGCCAAGTGATCACTCCATAGAGTATTTGCTGCACAGAAGTTTAGTCAGCTGCCTTATTACCCCAGCCATTATGGCATTTCTGGTCAAATGACAAGTTGGGGATAAAAAACAAGGAAAATCAGCAAGGAGGATTTCGATTTAGATTAATAAGGAAAGTTAGGGAGACAGTGAACCAGAGGTACTTTGATTCAGACTTATTGGGCTCTGGTGTGGCACTGTGGGTTAATGTATTGGACTGTAAAGTCTATTTGAATTGCAAGGTCAGCAGTTCAAGCTCACCAGTTGCTCCACAGAAGCCCTACACAAGGTCCCTGGGGGTCTGAACCAACTCGATGATACTTAGCAACAATAACAGCAAAAAAGCTTAGTGATTACAAGTCGGGCTGCTAACCTCAATGCCAACAGTTTGAAACTCCATGGGAGAAAGATGAGGCTTTCTACTCCTGTAAAGATTTACAGCCTCGAAAATCCTATCCTAAGAGTTAGAACTGATTCCATGGCACACAACCACCACCACTAATCCCAACTCTGCCATTCCCATGACCTTGGACGGGTTATTTAACCTATCCATACCGTAGGCTCCTCATCTGTAAAATACAATTGTGGTGGTGGTGGTTATGTGCTGTGGAGTAGGTTTCGACTCATAGCAACCCTGTATAGGGTTTCCAAGGTTGTAAATCTTTACGGGAACAGAAAGCCTCATCTTTCTCCCACAGAACAGCTGGTAGTAGTATAATATTATTAACCTCACAAAATTATTATGAGTATTAAAGTAATATAAAAACCTGCAAGATGTTTAGGACAGTTCCTCAGAGCAAGCTCAAACAAAAATAAAGTTAGCTGTCATTGCTCATGTTATCTATCACTATTATTATTATTATGCAAAGAGAGATTCATTGTTGTTTGTTGGTGTTGATGTTAAGTTCTGTTGAGTCCGTTCCAACTCATAGCGACACTGTATAGGGATTCCGAGGAGTTTGAACCACCGAGCTTGCGGTCCAGCGCATTATCCTGTAGCACCACACCAGGGCTCTGAGGTTTTGTTGTTGTTAGATAGAAGAGACTCTATGAATCCAAAATAATTATCCTGACAACCAGAACACACAAGGGACCATACTAATCTACTTCTACACATGAGCTTTGGCATATCCCAAAGTCCTAGTAGCTGGCATACCTCTACTTAAAAAGAATTCTATAAAGCTAAAATACAGAATGAAAGACTCTGAAGGAAGAACCTAACACCAAGTAGATATTATCACCATAATGATGAATTTCTTTATGCCTTTAGTAAATGGTTTTGAGGTTTTAAAAAGTAATAATGGGGAAGGGTACTTAACCAAACTTTAAATACAAAAATATGACTTCTTTAAAGAATAATTTCATAATTTTCTCAAAAAAAATTCACAGGTTGAGAGTTTAAAATAAATTAAATATTTAAAAAAGGAGTAAAAAAAGAAATCACCTAAAATTCCATCATGAAGATAAAATTACTGTTAACATCTTGGGCACCATCATTCCAAATATCTTACTAGGCATAAAGGTATTTTACAAAGACAGGATCTTAGTATGAAAGTAATCAATAATTTTATTCTGCTCCACTCAATACAACTATGTGATGAATAGCTTTGCATGACAATAAAAATAACAGCAGCATCATTTTTAATGACTGCCTAAAAATTCTATAGTAAACAAATTTTTTCAAGGAAGAGCCCCACCAAGATATATTAACATAGTAGCAGCAATAATGGGCTGAGACCTTACAATGATGAGAATGGCACAGGACCGGCAGAGTTTTGGTCTGTTGTGCATAGGGTTCCTAAGAGTAGGAACTGACTAAACAGCACCTAACAACCACAACAGCAGATATTCTGTTCTTGCACCATAATTTATTTAATCAGATTCCCTGCTATAGACATTGAGGTTTATTGCTACATTTTTGCTATTAGGAGCTTATAAAGGGTGGTACAATGAAGACACATGTTTTCCCACAAATACTATTTTCTCCTTAGGGAAAATACCTAGACATGGAATATGTGATCAAAGGTAAGGTAATGTCACATGTTTACAAATACTGCCAAACTATCCTCCATAAAATTTGTACCAACCTACACACTGAAATCCACCACTCATCTGTCAGTTTGTTGTAGTGTGGTGGCTTGTGAGTTGCTGTGATTTTGAAAGCTATGCAACTGGTATTTTAAATACAAGCAGGGACACCAACTGTGGACAG